TTCAATGCTTCTATAGATGACTCTGGAGGGGTATACTTAATTGTCCTTTTTGCCACCAGTGATATCTAGGGGCTGCAGTTGTTAGTGTTGCATAGTCGAGAAGTTATAAGAACTATTATATAATAAAAAAATTTTCATTGGTTGGACCATTGGAGGAGTGGTACTAATGATGGAGAAATTTCAGTTCATATATATATTATTCTTGCATATAGTTATATTTTAGTTCTATAACTCTGTTCTCATCTCCACGCAATCAGCTAACTACTAAGCTTTTCATTGTCATCATGATCACTACCATTTCTAATTTAATCTTCCCAAACTGCATGATTCTGAGTTTTAAAAATTTCCCTTTGGAAAGTTAAATTTTTGTGCTAATTATAATTCTATATTGATGCGCAGGTTCTCTTTTGGAAATTCATTTTTTGATCCCCTTGGAGGTTTATGTCTTGGTATAACTTTCTTTTCCCATTTGGTAGAGGAATTTGATACTTTTGTCACATTTGTTGTTTTATTTGGGGACAAAACTTCGACAGTTGGTAATTGCATAATTGGCCTTCTTTGGGTTTGATTGTTTTATCAGATGTGAGTTTTGGGGTTCAGTATATTTCTGAGTCCAACTCTTGGCTAATGTCAATTAGATTCGATAGGCAATGACTTTTCTTTTCTATATTTTTCTTCTTTTATTTCACTACTTACCTAAATGGTTTCTTAAAAGGTGACTATCAGCAAATCACTGCTGACCTCATGTTTCTATATAGCCTCTTTACGGTTTACCTGATGTGTCAATCAGATTCTTGACTGAGCTCCTATTTTTAACCATCATTTTGGATCAAATTTGTGATAACTAGACTTAAATTCAGTCTTGTTAACTTAGTGTTCGCTTGTGCTGTACCTTAGTATGTGAACTTGGAAAACAATCCAAATATTGTAGGTTGGTTGAAAAGGATTTCATGTTAGGCCTTAATTTGTTTGTCATTATTTATGTATGTGTTCATATAAATAGGATGAGCAATGTGACACAACCTCCCAATTTGCAATTTTATGGATGAAATATTTTTTCTTCCGAGGAATGGGGCCGCACATACCAACAACAACAACAACAACAACATACCCAATATATTCCCAACTAGTTGGGGTCTTGGGGGTCAGTTGTACGCAGACCTTACCATTGTAATAATACAAGGAGGCTGTTTCCGTAGCGACCCAAGGCGCATTGCGTCGTTTGATATATTTTTTTTTTCTAGAAACTTCACTAATAGAAGAAGCACTAGAGTTTAATTGAGCCATTTTGATCTAGTCCATTATTAGCACTATGCCAGGAGAATTGTTAACAATGACTCTTCCAACTCCATTTGCAATGGACAAAATGGGGCCGCACATACCACATTCTAGAAATGGCTAGAGCCCCTGATATCAGCAAACATCTCAAGAAGAGGGTTGTGTGCCTTCATATGAATGATTCCTACGACACCTATAGAGTTTGCCAAAACTGACCAAAGTTTCAACTTTGAATCCCTGGGAAAGCGTAATTGTATCATATAGTCAAAGCTTCCGCTAACAAATGGGAAAATGAACTTTTGGCACAAGTAGTAAAAGTGTCTTACATATGTCACGAATCTAGCCTCTTAATCCAATTTTTTGTATTTGCCGCATCGCATAAAAGAGTCCATCCATCATCAGAAGTTATTGGCCTTTCCACCAACAAAGAAAATTTCGACATGGTTCCAGGCAATATCAAGCAAACTTGATTGACCTCTATCAATATCTTTTAAACAAGATATCTGAAAATCTCAAACTCTTTCCGGACTCCTCGCATTGATCTTCTTACGAAGGCGATTGCAGTCCAACCAAGTAAGTCATAGTATGATAGTAAAGTTTCTAAATCCGCTCCTCGACTTCCAATTAAAATATCAAAGAATAAGAAATAAAGTGTAGTGCCTCGTTTGAATTATGGACTTTTCCGGATTATTGAATTATCGTATTTATTTTATTTTGTAAATTTTCGATAATTGCTCGACATCTCTGGTTTGGACTTATTATAATTGGATATTCTCGTCTAATTAACTTAATGAGTTGTAATATCATATTTTGTTCGCCGTCAATTAGTTAGTTCGGTAGTTCTGGTTTAACCGAGTGGTATTATTTTTTTTGGGTTCTGAATCGGCCATGATTTAGCTATAATCCTCGATTATCACATTTTGTTGTCCAAGCCCTTATTCTCTATCGAGCTTTGGGTTTTAAAATTTTATTGCTGGCCCTTTGGAATTATATCCCAGCACAAGTCTAGTATTTAATTTTTCCGGCCCAACGTGATTAAATCATTTGGCTCAATTGTGAGTATTATTCTTCGGCCCATTGGATTAAATACCAAACTTGCTTTCTCTTTCTCTGACGCGCGACCAAGTCACCTTCCTCAACGGCTCAGAAGAATTTGTTGCGATCTTCCAGCAGGATTTCATCTCACGATCGTCCCTATCTCGTTCATATATATCGACCGAGGAGATTGTTTGTCCCATTTTTGTTGTATTTTTTGTTGTCTTTTTGCCGTTATTTTTTCCAACGTACTGAGTCGTTTAGGTGGTTTTAGGATCTTTTTTTCATTTATTATGTGTTTTGCGTTCATTTGAGTGTTGCGGTATTTTCCGTTTGTTTTTCGGTCTTTTTCTGTTCTCTTTTCGTTTTTGGTGTGTAGATTGAAGACCCCGGAGAACAAGTTTTCGAGAATCTTTTGGGGAAGCTGACACCATTAGAAAGAGGAGCTCATTAGCGACGCGTAGGAAAAAGCATAAGTGAATTCCGATACCAGACGAGCCCAACGAGACCAAACCGTGAAGTCATGCAAAGCTGCCGGGTGCCTTAGCGGCGCTAAGGCCTTAACGCCGCTAAGGCCTGTGTGGATAGCGGCGTTTTGGAAGCTTAGCGGGACATAGGCTGTTTGTCCCATTTTTATGTCTTTATTTTGGGTTTATTTTCCTCTTATTTTCCCCATTTATTAGATTTTCGTAGTTTATTTGGTCCAATTCTGTGCTTTTCTGTTTTTCTCTTTAGTTTCGTCTTGTGCGTCTTTTTGTTGTGTTTTGCTTCGTGTTTCGCTGTGTTTGTGTTTTCAGGAGATAGGTTGTGCCGGTCGAGGACGAGACTGTTGGAGCCGAGACCGTGATATCAAGAATACCAGTTGCCGAGCTCAGAAAGCTGAAGGAAGGACCAGAAAAATGGACCAAAAACGCGCCCAACATTCTTCGCGACTCGCGAGTCGAGTCGCGACTCGCGAGTTTGACAGAGACAGAAGACATTGAAAGACGGATTCCGCGAGCCAGTGTCGCGACTCGCGAGTCAATGTCGCGACTCGCGAGATATTGTCGCGACTCGCGAGACCTATCGCGATTTTCCCCAGATTTCAAATATATGTGAAGACACGCGACTCGCCGGAAAAAGTGAAAGTCGCGACTTACTCGGCGCGAATTTCGAGGTCGGGATTTTTACATCAGAATTTAGACCTAGGGATCATTATTCAACTTTCAGACTTAGTTTTTACGTACTTTCTCTCTAGAAACTCATTCCTTTTCATACTTTTGTTCTTTCGATTTGATTTGGAGGTTGAAACCCCGTTCTTGCTTTGGATTTGGATGCTTGTGGATTTGACATTGGACTATTTACATTAATTGTAAGTTCTTCTTTTCTCAATTGTGTGTTGATGATGATGGCTTGGGTTTATATGAATGTTGATGTTAAATTCCATATGAGTAGCTAAATCCATACGCTAGGGATAGGGGATGATTGATTAGGTTCAATAATAATTGCTTGTTCTTAATTGCTCATATCTATGAGAGTTGTGTTTGTCCTAGGGTTAGTAGATTGATCACCTTTCTAACCTAATAAATCAACGTGTAGAACCGAGAGGGGAGACGTTGGTCGATATAGGCTCGTCTAGAGTAGACTTGTTCGTAGCTGTATTGTCTATGCGTTGCTGGAACTGATAGTTGATCGTTTACATTTATTCTCTTGTTCGTAACTGTATTGAGAGTGAACCTCTGAACGAGAGACGATTCAATTC